TCGCCGGCCTACTGTCCACTCCCCTCAAGCTCCACGAGGACCTCGCTTCGGGATGCGGAGGTCAAACCTGGCCCGCGGGCATGGTGTTGGCAAAGCACATGCTGCGTTACCACCGGGAAGCTCTGACCGGAGCCAGAATGTTGGTGACTCGGCCCCATTGCGCTCGCCACGTTTCCTGAGCTGGTTATCCCCGAGCTCACGCTCGCCTACACTTTGCTGCAGATGCTGCTGCACTTGACTTGCCGGAACTGAACCGCATGCTAATGCGAGAGAACATGTCGTGGAAAGAAGTTGAGCTGACTCGTGGCTTTTCGGAGCAAATAGACTAGAGCTAGGTGCCGGCGGCGGACTCGTCGGTTTGGCTGTTGCTCTAGGTTGTGACCTGCAGCAAACGCCGCTGTACCTCACAGACCAGGACGAGATGTTCGAGCTCATGGGCAGGAACACCAAGCTGAATGGTCTTGATGGCAAGGTTAAGCCCATGATCCTGAATTGGTAAGTAATTTCCATTTACCTCCGATTCCAGCCGTGCGCATCCTTCCCCCAGACCATCAGCCCCAGACTTGGGACAAGTGAGAGGTGTCTGCCAGCGCTGAGGAGTTGCGCGTGCGCGGGAACCAGCAGCGCACTAAAGAGTTATGAAGCCAAAGACTTACAACTTGTCCCGGCTCACTCTGCTACTGCGCTGCGCTGCAATGCACAAGTCCAAGCACAAGCAGGCTGCGCATGCACTCCGGCTGATGAACGGATGACTGATGAATGACACAGGGGCGAGCCCTTATCACAAGAAGTCGTCGACTTCAAGCCGAATGTCATACTCGCAGCCGACTGCGTGTACTTTGAGCCCGCCTTCCCGCTTCTATTGGAGACGTTGACAAATTTGCTGACGTTGGAGCCCGACGCGACCATCTACTTCTGTTTCAAGAAGAGGAGACGCGCCGACATGCAGTTTCTCAAGAAGGCACAGAAGGCGTTCCAAGTGACAGAAATCGTGGATGATGATCGCGCCATATTCAGCAGAGAAGGGCTGTTTCTGTACACCTTCGCCAGCAAGAAGCCGACCGCCAACGGTGCTCGACAGTAGTGAGCATTGACTGGCATCCTGTCATTGGCAAACCGTTCTCTTTTTGGGGAAGACAGCATCAAGCGCCTGTTTCGCAAAGCTCTCGGGAGTCGGGATCTGAAAGCCTCGACTCGGGCCCAGGGATTTGCGCAGTGCGCCATGTCAAACAATGACTCGAAGTCGAAAGGCTACTTGACCTTGACAACTTTCGGTGTCACTTGCGCGCCAGAGTAGGTGTGCGGAGATCCATGAGTTTGTCCGTTGGCTCAGGGAAAAGGACGAGATGAAAAACGATTGTTGTCTCCTTGCTTGCCTCGTTCGAGGATTCCAACCCACAGCCCAAGGCGGGGCGATGTCGTGTACTGCTCGGTGTCGTGGACATCTCTGAGAGGTCGCTGCACCGCGTCAGCTGACAGTCGATGCAGAAAGCGCCTGTCATCAACAGCGTGGAAGAGACGCAATAATAGACGAATAGAGAATAGAGAAATAGAGGCTCATGTCAATCAAAAGAAGCTTTTTAGAGCACCACATATCGTTGGATCCAACACGCATGTGATCTCCAAGAGTAGTGGAGAACTGTGCGGGTGGGCATACAAGATCTGGTCCCCAGAGTTCAGAGTTCAGATTTCAGACTCCGGACGATCATTTGATGGGATGGTTGGCTTTACCATAGCGCAACTACGAGCAAGAGATGTGGACGAGAAAGCTGTGAGTAAAGGCCGGACGACGGCTCGAAGGAAAGCGAAATCAAGACTAGCCCGAGAATAGGTCTCAGGAGTGAGAAGTAAGAACGGTCACCGAACAGGTGAGGGGTTTTCTGTGTCTTCCCCTTCACACAACTGCAGGCTGCTGCAAGCCATCAACGAATCAAGCATCAAGCCGCGGGTGGCCGAATGAAGATGCAATGCGGGAAAATCTCTGCGTGGTTGGCGCCGCGGTACGACGCCCACCCAACGTGTCAGCGTGTCAGCGGTGTCCACCAAACCACTGTAGGTTTGCAGGCACGAACATGGAGCTATTAACTGCAGCACAGAGGCTAGCCATTCGAATTTTTAGAAGGGAGAAAGTGATGTGGCATTGCCTGAATTGCCTGATCATCCGGGATCAGAGCCGGACAGGGGGAGAATGGGCTGTGAGGGTTGCGCCGGGCGGGGGCTTTCCACCGAGGCGTCGCTGTGATTGGCGCGTACCTTACATCTGCAAGGAACCCGTCGCCCAAGCCCGTTGTCTGGACCAGCTCGGGCGTTCGCCTTGGTCGCTTGAGGGCTGCCAGTCTGCTTCCTTCGTCGCATCGCCGGTTGATTTTGTTTTTGGCTTTCAGTTTTCCCCCTTCCGTGCCTTGGTCAGGATTGAGCAATCGTTACTTAGCGTCAGGCATAGGTGAGCGGGGGACCTGACCCGGTGCCAACACCCTAGAAAGGTCGCCCTCGACACTGACCATTGAGTTTTGAACGACACTGACTTCCTGCGCGGCACGGTAAGGTAACATCCCAAGGTGTCGACCAGTGTTTCTTTTTCACGTTTCTCCTGGTGCGTCATCTGTCCAATGTTGCATCGCACATTGCAGCCGCCATGGCGCCGACATACTTAACCACGGTCTGCTGGGATCCTTCTCGCAGCGCGGCAACGGTTGCGCCTTCTTCCATGAAAGACAATTAACTAACACCGAGCCAGAATGCTGGCGCAGCAGGCGCAGGCCTCCCGCGGCACGGCACCTCACAATAAGGGAAGGTACTGTGTGTGCGCAGAGCATGGCGGTTGGCAGGCAGGTACCCGTCCTGGGCACCCCGGTGCCACCGGATGATCGTCATTCTTTTATTTCCAGGATTCCTAGACGATGCGAGGGGAGGGGAGAAACGGTGTTCGGACCCTGGACCACCTACGTGCTACCTACCCCCTGGGCTGGGTCTCTCGGGGCTGGGCTGGCCGCCAGGGCCTTGGGTGAGGAGGAGGGAAAAAAAAGCTGGAGCGCACTTCCCAGTTTCCGCGTGTTTCAAGCACCAGCATCTCTCCGGCGGTTCATCCAATCATCAAGTATGGGTGGGAAGAAACAAGATGACATTATGACAGGCAACGACAAGCTTGGAATGAGACGGGAGCCCGGGAGACGAAGGCAAGAAGGCATGGACATGGGACGAGGGAACGAGGCAAGAGACGCGCAGCCCGGCCCAGTTCCAGCCCTGGAGCCGTGCCGTCAACCGCGCTGCAGCGGCAAATCCAAGAGCAATTGGCAACTACGAAGCACGCGCAGACCTTGCGGTTACGCATGTGATGGGCCAGCATAACGAGTCAATTGCGAGATGGAAGCTCTCCAGACCCCGGCTTCTTATTGCCGTTCTTACGTTGGCAGGATACGTTACGCTGCCCCAGTCCGATCCATCCACCACTTCCCGATATCCAATTCTCTGTATTCTCGACGGATGTGCGGCTAGAGTTCAAACAACCAGTACTGTCTCTGACTCCCTGTATGCGTTGCTGGTTCAATGGTTTGAGCGAAACGGCTGTCAAGTTGCGTTTCCTCGGCATCCATTTGCCTGATGTTTTCTCGGGTTGCGGTTGTCGTCCCTGGTTGCCTCAGCCCAAGTCGGTTTCGGGTTGGTCTGGCTGGCAAACATCCCATCTCCAACATCCTAATAAGCGGAGGCGTTCAAGCCCTGGAGAGCCAAGATGGGCCATGCCAGAACTGCGAACCCCAAGAGGCATTCTCTCCTCGTCTGCTTGCCTGATCTCGTGGCGTGCTTGGTGCCAGCGATGCCAGTCTGGAGCGAACGGGCTCGTGCTAGTGCCATCCAACGGGTTGTTCACGCCCCCTGGACTTGCTTCTTTCGTGTTGGTACGTTCTTTTTTCGGACCTCCAGCATCCAACGGTCCAGTGACGAGTGAGGTCGTCGAGGCAGTTTGTCTGCCTCTCCAAGTTGGTTCAGGGGGGTTGCAGGGACGGTTACCACTCAAGAATCCTGGTTTCCACGCCATGACAAGGCCCCGCTTTTGCTTTTTATTCCCTCTCGGGGCTTTTGCGAATTCTGTTGTCACTACCGCTAAGGCGGTGGCAGTGAGCGAGCGAGAGAGACTGCGCAGTCAACCGCCCCGGAACCTGCAGCCCAGCCAAACAACACAACACGACCAGACAGGCCTCGAGGGATCATCAGGTACTCCCGCATACTGCCGTGCTAGCTGAGGTACCTGCCAATGGAGTCTGTCCTCCACCCTCCGTCAGCATTTTCAGCACGCTCAGCACCTGCAGGCCTCCACTCCACACACCACATCCACTCGACCTCACAGGCTCACACCCCCGGGCCCCCGTTCCGCCCCTGGCCCCCTAACCCAGTCTCGCCAGTCCCGAACAGGCTCACTTTCGTGTTGTGTTCCCATCGTTTGGTACCTCGCTTGGTCCACGAAAGTGTTCTGGGATACAAATCCCAGCCGGCCTCCGCTTCCCAGATCGCTCATCTGGATCTCTCTCTTTTTTTCCTCTTTCCTCTCCATCCAACAACGCTCCCTCTTGTTCGACCAAAACCAATTCATTCCTTTCCTTGGACCCCCTTGAGCAGTGCTCGACCGACTTCAGTCCAACAGACTATCCAACCAATTCATTCCTTCACAGACTGTTTCGAGGACTCGTCCAAACATTATCATCCGGTCTCCAGCTGTCAGCAAAAGAGTGTTCAGTGAACTACTCCTTTCATCCCATCTTTCCAGCCTACCAGGAACCTCAGTACATACCAAAGCGTGCCCCGAGCTTCCTGCCGTCAACCTTGAACCTGCCAAGCTTCACACGCTCCTGCAAGCCATTCCTTGATCGAGAGGCTCAGCCCATTGCATTCATTTCGCTTCCAGCTCATCCTTCACGGAAGATCATCACTCAAGAGACTGTATAAGTCTCCTGACCAACAACACCAAACACCAACATCGCAACTCACCAAACACCAAGTTCACCATGAAGACCTCTGCCATCTTCTGCGCCGCCCTGGCCGCCGCCGCCGTTGCCCAGCCCCACCAGCACGGAAACAAGAAGCGCCATGTCCACGGCAAGCACCAGAAGCGCGCTCTCGTCACTGAGTGGGTTACCGAGACCGCCTACGTGACCGAGTGGGTTGATGCCACCGAGACCGCCTGGGTCCCCTCCTCCGAGGCGTCTGCCACTCCCTCCGCCGTTCCCACCACCTCCGTGCCCGGCCAGTTCTTCGAGCCCGGCAACTCGCCCTCTTACACCACGCTGTCCACCTCGACCAAGGCCGCTGCACCCGTTGTTCAGGAATCCATCCAGCAGGCTCCCGTTGTCTCGTCCAGCAGCTCCACCCCTGCTCCCGCTCCCCAGACCCCGACTCCTCAACCCGCTCCTCAGCCGACCACCACTTCTGTCTACATCGCTCCCGTCATCGTTCCTACCACCCCTGCCTACGTTGCTCCTGTTGTCGCCACCACCAGCACTCCTCAGGTCCAGGCCCAAGCCACCAGCGGCAGCAGCAGCGGCGGCGGCAGCAGCAGCAGTGGTGGCTCTTCTTACAGCGGTAAGCTGACCTACTACGCCATCGGCCTGGGTGCTTGCGGTGAGGACGACAGCGGCAAGGACAAGACCGAGAACATTGTTGCTCTCTCCGTTCTCATGATGGGCTCGGTTTCCAACGGCAACTCCTACTGCGGCAAGAAGATCCAGATCTCCGCCAACGGCAAGACCACCACCGCCACCGTTCGCGACAAGTGCATGGGCTGCTCTCACGATGCCATCGATGTCAGCGAGAAGGCCTTCCTCGAGATCTTCGACAGCCTCGATGTCGGTGCCGGTACCGTCGACTGGAAGTTCATCAACTAAGCTTGGCGTTCAAAACGCTTGCTTATTCCTCTATTCCATTCCAGTCTCAGCACGGCCGTCAGGGGTTCTTTCTCTTCTTTTGGGTGCGCTTTCCTAGCGAGGGCTTCGCACCGATCAGGTTCATCTCATTCACAAGAAATGATTGGCTTCAAGCTTCCTTGGGCCAGTCATCTTTTTTTTTTTCTCTGATTCAAATCTCAAATAACAATTATTTGGTTACATATACCCCTCCTTTTCCTGGTCAGACAAAAGGGACGGCGCCTGGTTCAACAGCACGGGAACTGGATTGGATCAACAAAAGGGCAAACAACAAGACCTGGCACGCCGGTCTTGAATGACGTGATGACGATATCTCTATACCGGCGGATGCGAAATTCCTCCCATGCTTGTGGGAGGTGTTGGGCAATCTGGGGGCGGACATCTGGTGTTTCTGTTTATGTGGACATTCTTACCATCGGGTCGGCTCATAGAACTTACAATTCAAATGTATATATCTATTAGGGGTATGGATAGGGGCGTGTGCTTTCGCGCCTCCTATCCTTCCCCGGATGTGGGTTATTGGCAAACCACTGCCAAGAAGGAAGAAAAAATATCAAAAAACCAAAAAGTTGAGACTTCAAAATATGCCTTTCTCCGTGCCACAGTCCCAGTCGGCCGAGTCTCCTCTGGAAAAATGTGATCAACGCTAGACTTGCCGGTAGCAGGCGGCCACCCCATGCAATGAGCCGTCGGCACGCGGAACGATAATGAGAATGACGATGGAGGGGTTATGAAATCCCCTCCCCCCACGGGCTCGAGCACGACATTCCAATCAGCGATGGCGGCTAACGTTCAGAAAGAGAGTAATGTAATAAGCCGCTGGCCTGGCCCGAGAGACATTCTGAACCACCACCTGTTACCGTGGCGGCCGCGGCGCCTGGCATTCTGGCATTCTGGGGGAGGGGCAAAGCGAAAGACTGCCTTGCCCATATCCATATGTTGTATGTCTCGCACCGCAACGATCCGATCGTGTCAGCTGAGGAGAGGGCGGAACATTCCACTCTCAGGCGTGGAGGAGGAGGCCTCGGAGGGAGGAGTCTCGGCCCAATCTATAATTCCAAGACATGACCAAGGCCTCGATGGTCAAAAGTCACATCACCCTAACTGCCTTCGTGCTCAATATCATTCCGATGCTTCTATTAAACTTTCGTGACTCTAAGGATATGATTCGATTAGGGTCGTTTGATTTCTTTCTCGCCACCAGCTGAACTCAACCCCTCGTATCAACAACACGAGATACCACCTATCGTCAAGACAACCGAGTGCTCCAGAATGACGCGACCAGCGCCTCCTACAGCAAGAACATGTCCAGGTCGTCCATCTCCTTGATGCTGGGCATAGCCTGGGCCCGCCGCGCCCTCTCCTCCCCGACCACGAAGTCCTCTGGTACTTGGATCCCGTTCTCCGTCCCCCCGGCCATCATGCCGGCCACGGCTCGCCCGCAGAGCGCGGCTTGGGGCATCCCGTGTCCGGTGTACCCAGCACAAACCCACAGCCCGGCCCCGCCGCCGAGCACATCACCCGCCGGGACCTCGCCGACCCACGGCCGCCCGTCACGCGAGAAGGCCATGATGCCCGTCCACTCGTAACTCGCCTTGAGCTCTTCCGGGTCCGTCGGCTGCTCACCGTCGCCCCGGAGGTCGATGTTCTTGGCCCCCGCTCGCCGCAGGTACGACGCAACAACCGGGTCGACCTCGTCATCGTCGGAGATACCCACTCCTCTGGCCGTGCCGTTCGCCCTCCCGCCGCCTAGAATCATCTCCAGACCAGGGGAAGGCCTTTGGATGAGGTAGTCGTCCTGGTTCGGCGACGACCCCGAGGAGCTGGCCATGAAGACGTAGCTCCGCTCTATCTCGGCGCGCGGTTCCGGCAGCAGCGCGGCGACCTGGCCACGCACCGGCACGATGAGGTCCGAAAAGGCGGGGAGTAGACGGCTCGTGTAGGCGTTGGAGCACAGCAGGACCTGCTTCGCGGCCACCTGCCCGCGCTCTGTGTGTACGATCCACAACGCTCCGTCGTCACCGGCGCCATCCAGGCGTTGGAGACGGGTGACGGGCGTGTTGGTCTGCAGATTGAACCATCCGCCCTCGCCTGCAGACTGCTGCTGCCCTCCTCCAAACTTCGAGATGAGGTCCTCGAACACCCATGCGACAAGTTTGTACGGCCAGCAACTCGCCGCGTTCTCCTGCACGGCGGCGCCCGCGGCTCCTGGCACCCGTAGCGTCTTCAGCTCTTCCGCATCAGTGACGAGGCGTACGGCGCTCTTGAGGTGAGGTGGGAGGACAGCGATGGCGTCGGCGGCCTTGGCGACGAGGTCCGCGGTGAGAAGGGCATGGACGCCGCGGAGGGAGACCCAGTCGCAGGGGATGGCATTGGCGGCGACGAGATCGCGGAGGTAGTTGTACGTCTGCAGCTCAAAGTCTGCTATGGCGGTGGAGGGACCATATACTACCGGCTGGCAGTGGCCACCGTTCTGGTAGGGGTGTCAGTGGTGACGTTATCGTGAAGGTGGTTGTGAGATGACACGATGAGGGGCGGAGATAAGCTATCGGAGCCCATCACCATCAATCTTGGCTGAGCACTTGCCAGACTTCGACTTCCCTCGTTTCACTTCGTGATACCCGACAGAAAGTATTAAAAGACTCACCCGTCCAGTAGCTCCCCAGCAGACCTCCCTGGCCTCAAGCAACAACACCTTCCTACTCGCCCCGTCACTCCCCTCCTTCAGCTCCTTGGCGGCGAAAGCGCCCGTGATACCGCTACCGACGACGACCACATCCGCGGTCGGAGGTAAGCTCTTAGTCGTGCGATGGCCCAGGAGCGCTTCGGAAGGCTCGCGGTGCCAGTATGAGCGGGTGCTCTTAGTCGAGGGGAGATCGGCCTGGCCCTCCCGCAGCGTTGCGCCCGTCATAGTGTCGGATGAGGATTGCTGTCTGAAGGTGATGGTAAGGTTTGATGATTCAGGGTATAGAGTTTAGATAAAGTGACCCGAGTTCTGCTGTTTAAATATGCTGTAGTTGGGACTTTTGTGATGTTGGCCGCGTGGACGATTGAGTCATGTGTTGAAGGATTGACGTTTGGTTGATGGCTGGCGCGCAAGTGGACATGTGAGGTTCAGTCAACTACCACTCCCACCTGCACCGATGGAGCAGGTCCAACAGAGACATCACCAATCCACGTTGCAGAACGCGTCACTTTCGGCAGACCCACAAGAAACGGGTGTCGCACATCAGCAAGACTTTTGAGAACGATTCTGATTGATATTATGCCCAACTTTTGTACCAATTTTTGGAAAGAAAACGCCACTGTCTATGGGTGCCATCCATCCATTCATTGATTACCCGGAGCGTCGCAGCCTCGAGGCTGCACCGCACACTGCTGGCATGATCACATCTAAAAGCCAAGAGTACGCTAAAGGACGTAAATAGCGTAGAAGAATATTTCTCCAACTCTTGCTGTCCACGACTGAACTCGCTTAACCCTGCATCTTTCTTCTCTTTCCGACCTGGGCGGAGAAACCGGTCTTGATGGCAGTAACGGAACGTCTCGAACCGCAAGAGTTGCAGGTAATGAAGTACAGACGGTTCTCTCCCTTGGACAGCTCGGTGTCGGCAGATTTGCAGGTCTTGCAGGTGACGTACTCGACTGTGGAGGAAGTTGGTCAGCTTCCGCGTAAGACGCACAAAAGAAGCAAACTCACTGATGTACTTGCGCAACACGTTCTCGAGCTGCTTCTGCTGGAAACGACCCTTGATGACAAGACGTCTGCTTCCGTCAACGGAACCACTGGTACCCAACTCAGCAAACAGGTAGGCGGTCACGTGCTCCTCCGTTCTCTTCATGCGCTTGCAGATCTCGGCAATGTTGGCGAAGATGGTCTTCTTGTTGCCTTCACGCATGCACTGCGGGGGAGGGATCTTGTAGCTCTTGGAGCCGCTCAAAGCGTGGTCGGGGTTCTTCTGGGACAGCTGGTGGAAGAAGCGGTTGAGCAGCAGGCTGTAGCTGAGGGCCTTGGTCTCGTCGTGCTGCCAGATGCCGGTGCCGGCGTCCATGTCACCCTCGTCAGCCTCGCCAGCGGCGGGAGCCTCACCAGCTTCGCCCTCCTTGCCCTCGAGGTCCAAGGCCTTGAGCTTGGCGGCGAAGTCGTCCTCCTCGCCCTCCTTGGGAACCTTCTTCTTCTTCTTCTTCTTCAGGGTCAGGTCCAGACCACCGTCCTCGCCGGCGGGGGCCTCCTCGGCATCATCGCCCTCCTTGGCGACCTTCTTCTTCTTCTTCTTCTTCATGGTAAGGTCGAGGCCACCATCTTCGGTGGCATCGGGGACGGGGGTGGTCGCATCCTCGGCTCCGGCTTGAGAAGGGGCATCAGTATTGAAAGATTCAAGTGCTGCAGAAAGCGGCGGCGTACGAGGCGTGTGCGACTGGGCTGTCTCCTTGGGTTCGTCGGTAGCGTTGACCATTGTGACTGAGCCGTCGGCGTCGACTACTATTTGTTCGGTATCGAAAGCGACGGATTTACGCTGTTTGCGCTCGGGGAGAGGAGATGCCTGCGAAAATTGAATGTTAGATTTCAAAGAGGACGAGCAGAAATTTCGGAGATGAGCAGAGAATTAATCGGGGAGGAACAACGTCTTGGGTGGTGATGATGTGATCGGTTTTATGGCGTCGAATTTGAGTCACGAAAAATGTCCTGTCTGTCCAGACCGTCTCTGATTCTGGTTGGGCAGTGGGGTAAAAGACGAATAAGTTCTGGTGGAGGGGCCAATGGTGGTGGTGGGCAGTGGCAGAAGTGCGCCGTGCGCCGTGCGCAGGGTGTAGGAGGGGAGGGCTAACGAGAGGTGCGGTGCGTTACGGTAAGCAACGGAGGAAACTTACTTCGACGTCCGCCATGATTGCGGCCTGTGTCTCACTGAATGGGGTTCTCGGTTAGGTATCCTTGGTAAATGCTTCTAGCACAGTGGTCC